GTTCTTACATATGCTGTATCTTGTATTTTCTTTAATACATTGTTCAGCCTAATTTCAAAAGGTCTTACGGTCAAGCGGAAAAGTCACTAAACATTGATAGACTGAACCGAGTTTCTAATCCCAGAGATTCCCCAACTCTTTTATTGAACTTATTTACTGTGTAAAAATGTATCATAAAAATTTCAGTTCATGAAGTAAAAACACTTCTTAAATTTATTCTTTAAAAAAACTGCAAAAACTTTCACTTTTATCTTAGCATATTTTTTTACAAATCCCTTTAATAAGAAAAAATAAGGAAAGAAATTAACTCGGTTTTGGTGATCGATACCTCAGTGCAAATTATATGCAACTTTTTCCAAAAGCATAGAGTTTATATGGATATCAATATATTAAGGATCATTTCTTCATCTAATTTTCTTAACATGTTTATTCCAGAATTTTCTTTTCATACTGTAGCGCTTAACTTTGAGTTTTCTATAATCATTCAATTTCTCTAGCTATAACAACTATGCATATCTTCTGACAAGTAGTCATATTTTTAACCACTGTATTTTAATTCCTTGACTATCAGTACATTATTCACTTGTTTCAGAAGTGCAAATATTTATTTTATACGCAAATCAACATAAAATAGTAATAAAACTTCAGATATGAAGGGAGCTTCTGATCAATTGTTTGTTTTAGAATGAATGAAATTAAGCTTAATGTTGTTGTTAATTAACTTGTTATTAATTTAATTATATACTTCTAATTAATTATGTGTTCAGATATTTCCAAGTATATTACACAAACTTTTGCGTCACAAATTTTAATTTTTGGTTACAAAAAAAAGCTTTTATTATTGAGAGGTCTGACTGATATATTATTTTCAGTACTTTACTAAATCGTTTCTTGTCGATGCTTTTAGAAAATTCTTGCATCATAATTTAATTTAACATCATGTCCCAAACGCATAGAAATTGTTAGAATTAATTTGGTATAGATTCTTACTAGTTTTTTTTATAATATTAATTTCTGCAAAATTTCATGATTACTTTAATTAACAAAAAACATTCATTCACACTTTGATATGGAATAATCTTTTGCACACAGTGAACTCTATTAAATTTTCCAGTCTAGTCGACATCATGAATATATTGATGTAACTTAAAAATAAAAAAAAAAAAAAAAAAAATTGATATGCTTATAATTATTTAATTTATGATACATCAAAGTCGTTAGTCGACTCCATAATCCGACCTCAAAGCTAAAACTTTCTGCGCATTCGCCGCGTGGAACATCGCACAGGCGTTTACGCGTGCGCGTAATTTTGATACTGCGCATATGCTGTGCGCAATGCAGAAACGTTTTCGCCTGCGCGTTTTATGTAAACGGACGTGTAAGCTCTAATTATCTATTTCAGTTAATGTTGCAGATTGCGTTGTTCCTTAATCTTGGATGGATCAGGCTATTTTTTTGCAGACTGTAAGAGCAATTTTAAAAGAAAACTTGAACTTCGATTATGTAAAAGAATTTCCGATGCTGGAACTTCCAAAGATCTACAAAACGACAGTATGTTTCGATTCCACAACAAAAGTGGAATTGCTGCAAAAATGATAAAGACAGAGAGTTACGAGGTTGTGAAAACGAAAAAATTTCGATTGACAAGTTATCGGTATTTTCGGCACATCAATTAACGGACTTGATGCGGAACTTTGTAACTGAACAAAAATTATGTCTTTTTATAGAATTAAAGAGAAAGTATTATCACATAATGAAGCAACTTAAACACCTTGACATTGAGAGAAATGTTTAATAAAGTAACAATAAATATTAAGCTTTTTTTTTTTGTACATTTTGATATCCTTTATATCATAATTGTTCTTTATTTCATAAATTCGTTTTCATATTTTTAATTTTAGAATTTCTTGCATGCCACTTAACGAGATTTAAACTGATATCTATAATCCGGAAAACGATAATTCGGAATCGCCGAAGTCCCGACGAGTCCGGATTACGACTTTTGACTGTATTATTATAATACTTTTTGCTCTAATATTGTAATTAATGAAAGACGTTTGCAATACTAATATGTATGTTTACTAATACCTTTTATTTTCTCTGTTAGCTCTCGCATTTATTACCGTTATTCAAGTAATTAGCCTGCTTGTTAGGTTTTCTTTCCTTGTGCTTGTAATATGTAATTTTATTTCCCTCTTTGGCTACAAAAAGGGAAATTGTAACCCTGTAGGCAACAGGGGGAAGAAATTTTGATTGACACAGTTGGCATATACCTCTTGCAGTATGGGTTCTTTTAAAGGCACTGTGAAGTGCAGAAGTGGTGGATGCATGATCACCCTAATTGGGATAGTACAACTCGACATTAGGATTCCTTCACAAATGAATCAAAGTTTGTTTGGAAGTAGTGATTGTCATACCCTGAGATAAAGAGAATGTAGCACAAAAGCTTATAAAATCGAAGCAAAGAACTGATGAACTTTTACAACATCCAAAACGACTGTTAGGCAGCTGCAAGGTACGAGGTTAATTAAAATTTTATTTTAATATTTTAGGGTTTCTATAACATTTACTTTCGTCAACTTCCACAAAACTGCAATTTAATTTCAAGTATAAATAAGCAAGAAGTTTTAATTTTTATATAAAAGTGGTCATTACTCTACTCTAGATTTTCTATTTTAAATTAGCTTACCAGCAAAAGGTGTTCGCTTGCCAAGATTTCTTCGCAGAAGTTAAGGTTTAGATTAGGCTTTGGTAATTTTTGTATTCTATCGTCGAATTTAATTTGAATTGTTTGTCTACTCGTAAGCTAGCAAAGTATTGTTTGCATTGAATTTTCAGTTACGTGTAATATCAGGTTGACGTGTTAATAAAGGTTTGTTTTGGATTTTGGTAATTCCAGCTAAGAGGTCAAACTTACTGAAAAATTAATGGTATTTTAAGATTAATATTGTCAGTGCCGAACCTAGACCATCGACTGTCCGCGTGACAAATTAAAATTGGCCTTGCCTTTTTTTTACAGAAATATATGTTTGATAATCATTTTGCCGACCATGTGCTGTACAACATCTTCCCCCACTAGAATTGGCCCTGAATATTGTGACCGTATAAAGTTACAGGATTGAGTCTTGACTTATGCTGGAATCATCCCTTTTCATGGATGATAATATTTGCTGTCATAGAGTTCGTTTTATGAAATAGGGAATCGAGGGTCTGGAACAGCTGGCATATTCACTCCGTCTGAATTTCATACAGCATGTATGCGCGCTTTTGCAGCTCGGTCTTCTGAGAGCTAGAGATTGCCCTTGTCTAGAAGTAGTAAAAAATTGAGATATTTTGGATAACTTTGTAAACTTCAAGTTATGCGGATGTTCAATAACTTTAACAATTCAAGACCAAACACTTTATTAATATCGCATGAAATCCTCATAAAAACAATTTAAGTTTTTACTTCTTAACTCACGTCTAAAAACTCAACAAGTGTTAAAGGCAATATTTTTGTTTTCTCTCAAATTGAACAAATTACGTTAATTAATTACAAGCCAGATTTTCTAATGCCATATAAAGTCAAAAGTCGTTAATTCGGACACCCATAATCCGGACCTCAAAGCTACAAACTTTCTGCGCATGCGTCGCATTCACGCATGCGCACAGGCGTAATTCAGTTAATGTTGCAGATTGCGTTGTTCCTTAATCTTCGAATTGGATCCGGCTTTTATTTTTTGCAGACTGTTAAGCATTCAAAAGTAAGCTTGAACTTCGATTGTGTCAAGTAGAATTTCCGATATATATTTACTAAATGTATTTATCTACAAAGCGAAAGTATGTTTTGAAATCCGAAATCTGTTTATCAAATTCACCCGAGGATTGGAAGTTATCTGTCAGCACTATCCTTGTCTTCAAGCATGTTTTTTTTTATTTGGCTAAATTCCTTGCTAAGTAGTATTTATCTCGATGTACTCCGTCTTTGATATGATTAAATCAAGTTCCTCGTGATTATAATCGCTTCCGAGTGAAGAAAGTGACCCAAGGTTATTGAAAACAAAACATTTCGATTACAGTAATCGTATCTCGGCACAGCAATTACGGACTTGAACAGCGGAACTTTTGTACCGACCGAAATTATGTCTGTTTATTGAATTAAAGAGAAAGATTACCACAAAACGAAGGAACTTAACACTTACATTGAAAGAAATGTTTAATAAGTAACAAATAATATAAGGTTTTTTTTTTTGTAAATTTGATAACCCTTTAAATCATAATTGTTCTTTATTTCATAATTACGGTTTCATATTTTTAATTTATAATTCTGCATGCCATCTTACCAGATTTAAACTGATGATCTATAATCCGGAATCGCCGAAGTCCCGACGAGTCCGGATTAACGACTTTTGACTGTATTTGTAGAACTACACAGACTTTTTCTTCTTTCCAAAAAGATGACTTCAGCATATGAATTTATTACAAAAAAGCAACTGATAATTTTTTTAGCAGATCTTACGGTTCCTGAATGGCTATCTTCATGCTTTCTGTGAGATACCAAAAGCATTCAAAAACTTACTGCAGAGATCGAAATATGGGCAGAAATATTTTAGCATTTACTGATACCATTTGAAAACTTTTCTTATATTAATTCTATGCAATGGTTATTATTAACAGTTACACATTTATATGTAATACACAAGTGTATATATTTTTTTAAACTTTCATATTTGTGCTTAAATGAGATCAGATTCTTCTTTCACTCAAAATGTATACATAGCATCTAGTCACATTTTTAGATTTTTAGTAAGTAAGTTAGTAAACTTGTAATATTTACCATATACTTGATGACCGAGATTTACCAGCCTTTGAAGCCTAATATAATACATTGTACAGCATGTGGAATAAAGTAATGCGGGGATAAAGACAAATTAAATTATACCCATCTTTTAACACGAATTCACTTTTTTTTTAAAGAACTTTACAAGTTTATACCTATATTTTGTGTAAAATATATTAAAAAAATTATGGCCTTTTTCTTGTAATGAAGCAAAATTGATACATTTTTTTAGATGAGACATCTTGTTACATCAAAGAAGTTTCTAATTAGAAAAAAGGTGGATGATATACTAAATATACTTTTTCCAAAAGCATGGATACCATTATATACTATGGTGAGTATCAACAGCTCTTACTGATATAATTTTAAAATGACAAGCTATATTATATTATAATTTATTTAAGAATTTTTAATTCCTCTTTTACACGGTGAATATACAATTTCCTTGAAAAATAGCTACAATTTTATCAAGAAATATTAAGCTCAGTCTAATTAAGTGAGGCCTTTTTCTTGAAAAAATTCCCAAAATTATAAGCAGCTTCTTAAAATGTTTGCTTGAACTAAAATATTACATTCCAAGAGTTTTATCTGCTCCATGCTTATAGAGTGTACTTCATTAGGTGCAAAGCAAATAACATTCTTGTAATTCTTTGTAAGCACAGAGCTTTTAAGAATCGCATCTGACTGTTAAAATGTGTGTTTCAGCATAAAATTAAGTTAAATAGGGGAACCATTTTTAATTTTTTTCAATAACAGTGATGCTTATTTTTCTGTGTAAAAATCTGCAGATTAAGTTAAATTATCTGTTTTTGAATATTAGTTGTGAAATTTTAAAAAGTTCAGATTCATCCTGGTTAGGTAGGTTTTGATTCTATTACGTGCATGTCTGATAGAATAAGAGATACTTTGCTATTGATTTTAAGAAATCATTTAAGCCAAATGTGAAAAATAACATAAGGTGTGTGTGTGATTATGGCAAAGCCTCGAGGCCTATCTGCCTACGGGGAGGACTTTTTAAGGGAAACTGGCTCATATACACGTTACACATGGGGAAAACCACGAAAGCGCCCATGCAGCCGGCCTGTTTGCGGGATTCGAACCTCAGACTAAACTACCAGTGTTCAGAGACCTTACGCTCGGCCACTGGTGGGCAAGAAATAACATAAGTTCAAATTCAAATCTATTTAATCTATGATCTCAACAACACATTATGGAATATCAACTCACATTTTCACTCAACAACACATTTTCAAAGTCCCCAGATATTTCAATTCTTTCCATGTTTTATTTTTACCACCACCATTCAAGTGAAGCTTGACTTACCAAGCAATTTTGAGTTTATACTTTTATTCTATTATTTTACTCTTTAATAAAAGCATACTATTTCCAAAACACATTCATGCAACATATTTTAATAAAGATAAGACAATATCAGAAATTGAATTCTTCTTCTTCTCCTTCAGAGTACTTTATGTAGCTTTGGGTAACTGCATTTTGAAGAATACAATTTTGTTATCTTTTCTAAATTACAGTTCATTCCAATTCCTTAGTGCTAAGCACAAGATCGTCCTATTTTTCACTCTTTCACCTTTTAACAAAACAGATTCATTTAGAAAGTAGCTGTTATTGTATTTCTTTTTTTGAACATCTGGCATGAAATTTTAAAATTTTTAAACTAAAAAATGCTGTAACATGAATATTTACCTTATTCAAAATAATCTTCTAATTTTAATTATGTCATCTTCGAATAACAATTAAAAAAGTAAAGTCTGGATAAGGGCTTTTATGGACTAATTCTAGCATTGTTGCTTTATATATGTTGATTAATAGAAATAATTCCTAATCTCAGTTTAAATTTGTTTCTCCTTTTCTATTTATTAATAAATGGACTTTACTGTCTTAGTATTTTATAATATGTATAATCTCTCTCTTTCAGTGTGAATGTGTACTGTTATGAAATGATAAACTTATGAATAATGAAATCTAACATGGCGAAATAAAAAATTTATTGTCAAATAATAAGAAATACTCTACTGTTCTGTATAAGAAACATGTACATTTATGGCAGTGTTCATGAAACAATTATTAAGATAAGAAAAATGAAAGCCACTATTCAGCAATGATACAAAAAGTTTTAAAATATAAATTATTGGTGTATGCCTAAAAGATCTGCCACACAATTCTCATTAAATGTCACTTTTAAGTCTGCATTTCTTAATAAAATATCAACTAGAAGATTTAAATTAAAAAAAAAAGCTCAGTTACCTGAATTAAGAGAGTGAAGATGGATTAATTTTTGGATTTGATTTCAAGAACTAATTTTTGTTCTTTGATATTATATATCCTTCAGTAAAACAAACAGAAGAAATTCATTATTCATAACAAATGCCAGTTTGTTGAGTTTCATACTTTATAAGAACCCGTTAACCCCTTAACGCATTTGCCCGTGTCTCACACGGGCGAAAGTTTCCGGCAAATTTGCACATGCCCGTGTCTCACACGGGCGCCCTTGTATCTCGCGTTATTTTATTTCTAATGCTTGTCTGAGATCCATTCCAGTAAAAATAAATAGGCTAGATTATAATTAAACTTATTTGACATAGATGGCACCACTATTCAGCATTTTTCTTGTGTAAACCACGTGGTGCATTTTGATGATTAGCTATAAGTTTGCTAGGATTCTTTGCTATAAAGTAGTCGTTTGGTGTGGAAAAGGTAATATATCCATTTTTTTATTATGTAAATATATAAAGTAAGCAGTTAACTGCAAATTATATTACTAAGTGTTTTGTAATTTAAAAAAGTTATCTGATAATGAGCGACTCTGACGATGACAATTTTGAATATGCCAATTTATCAGACAGTTTCAGCGATGAGAGTGATGATTTCTTGAGTGATGGAAGTGAATCAGAAGATAATGACAACGAGATTTTGGATATAGCAAGGAACTGGTATCAAATTAGTATAGATCAACCAAACGTTGCACCACCGAGATTTCGATTTGAAGCTAACCTTGGCTGTTATGCATATATATGATTATGCAAGAAAAAAAAATAGGTGATTTTTTGACCGAAAATTAGAAATTAATGTGTGCCTTAAGGGGTTAATTTTGTTTCAAACCACTGGAACTGTGTTCTTTAAATGAAAGCAAAATCCCTTTGAATTTAGATATCATAATTAAGAATAACATACTTACAAAATAGACTTTTTGTTTTATTTGAAATTCTGAAGCAAACTGAATAAAAGAAACAAGTCTGTACTAAGTCACACAGTGGCAGGATAGGATGGATGGTAAAGGCAGAGTGATATCAGAAATCAAATTACTAAATTAACCGATATAAAGGAAAGAAAAGTCAGAAGATTTTGAAGAATACTGCTGAGTACACTCAAGTCTTGTTTTCAGTTTCAGTCTTGTTCTTCACTAACATAACATAAATTTTAATGAGCTTGAATATTAAAGCTCTATTTTAACACTTCAAATATGTTGATGAACTATTAAGATTGATTTAAAAATTATAGAAATGATTGCTGGAAAAATATAAAGTTCCATTTGACAACAAATGTAAGAAATGTGTTTTATTATAATATTAAAATTAATGAATTTTTTCCAGGTTACTTTCTCAAAACTTCGCTACTCACACTGCATAGGTCGGAAACAGATGCAAGACAAAGTAAGAAAATTAATGTCCCCCCCCCTCTTAAATATGTAGTGGAAACTTAAAACTATACAGAACAAAATTAATTACAGAAAGTTACACAGGTGCATAAAAACGAAGGGTTTTTCTTTAAAATGCAATGCAAATTATACAAGAATAAATTATTCTTAAAACAGTTAAAAAAAATAAAAATAATTTCAAAATACTGGGCAATTAAAATGGTTGTAGATATTAAAAAACGCCAACTATTATCACATTTAACAGCTCATAAGAAATAAAAAGTAAGCCATTTAATTTATAACTTACATTAACAAATTAATTTCCTATAAAAACATATACAATTATTAGAGATAGAAACTTCAATAAGTGCTGTTCTAAAATACTGTTTTCTCATTATTATGCACAGGTTTTTTTTTTATTAATATTTTATTCACAAACAAGACGGCAGAAGATAGATAATTAAAATATTCAAGATTTGCATTTACCAATGCATTAAATTATGCACTGCATATTACAATAGATACTGCTATAATTTGATAAATGATGCTGAGTAATATAAATTTGGTATTAGACACGAAAACTTTCAGATGACTTGATTAATTACTTTGAAATTCATATCAGGAATTAAACTCCAGTGATAACTAAAACATAAACAGTACCTGAAATATGCAGTAGAGAAAATATATGAAATAAAAACTACCAAGTCTTATCATAATAAATTAATATTTTGAAATCTATGATGAAAAAAAATTTTTTGCAAAGATTTTGCTTTTGAAATAAGCACACAATAATTCAACTCAGAAAACATCTATTCTAAATGCATTGCAAATTTTTATTTGAATTAAAAAGCACCAAATTTTAAATATAAAAAATTACATAAATTACTTTAAATTTTACAATGAATTAATGAGTTCATAGTATTTAGTTAATTTTTTTTCCCCCCCCAAAAGGTAAATGATTTTTTCCAGAAAGAGTATTCAGAGAAATTCAACTTTAAGTTTCACAAACCAGATATGATTAACTAGTTATCAAGTTGAATATGAATAACTGAATATTATATGTTTACACAAAATACAATGCAATAGCTAACATAATTTCCAAATCCTAAAAGAAAACTGGGAGACTTTCATGCTGCATGGCAATACTATTTCAAAGGAACTCCAAACAGGCTTTTACTTACTTTATAATACTATTTAAACTATTTGTTTCAATTCTAATATAAATATATTAGCATTTAATTGGACATATTCTAAATTTTATGTTCTTTGGATAACTTAATTTCTTAACTTTCATACTAAGAAAATCCCGATGTGCGAAGGAAAGCTTTTATTTTTAATCAAAGTACTTTTAAATAAGATGCAAATAAATGTACACAGTATTTGTTTGGATAAACTTAGTAATATATTATATATTGAAGTAAACAAAATTAAATACAAATACAAACTGATTAAACACTGAATCATCATATACATTTCTACAAATGTGTACAGTATATTAAGACAACTCAAATCAAATTTAATTTAATATGACAGAATAAAATAAAATAAAAAATACAATTGATATGAAATAAACAATAATAAAAAAATAATCAGAAAATCATGAGAGGTGAGAGAAAGGAATTTGCACAATTTAAGTTTAAAAAAATTCAGAAAATTTCATTTATTGCTGGGAAATATTTCCATAGGCTAAAAATAAAAAACAAAGAGATTCGGTAAACTGCCAGGAGATTTGATGAAAAACAAGGGTCTCCTGGTGACACTGGGAGAGCTGGCAGCTATTGGGAGGGGGGAGAAATTTAGTTTTAAATTGTTAAGTCTCAGCTGTAGATGAAATGATGAAAAAATAAATTATTGAAACTTTATCATATCAAATAAATAATTAATACACATATTCATTCATTGTTTATACTTAAAACTGTCCAGCATTCTTGTTAGACAGCTTGCAGCAATATAGACTTAAAGTAATGAATTGTAAACAAAAACATAAAGAATAATTTGTATAAAACAGTTCTTATAGCTCAAGTATTTTAAATAAAACACATTTTCTGAAAATGAGTTCATGCTGAATTTATACATGCATTTCAATAGAGAAATAACAAAATACTTGAAATTTTTTTGACATGAAGTAAAAATGCATTTAACAATAGATATAATGCTATAATGTGGTAGACATTAACAGTATTGAAATATATTAAAAGCATTTTCTTATTTATGTACAACATTATTTGGTAGCTGCCATTTTTATAGTACTTTTTTTTTTTTTTGTTTCCAAATTTTAAAACTCCATATTTAAAAATAAGTGCTATCAATATATATATATGAAATATGTAAAAAACTAACAATTTTTTCCAAAAGAATTAAGCAAATCAAAATATTATATGATTCACAATCATATGAAAATGAATAGCAAAAGTAATAGAAGCAAAAAAATTAATTTTGCTGGCAAAATTTAAAAAAAAAATGAACACGGTGAAAGATTAACACACAGTCCACTGAAAACAAATTTTAAATGAAAATATCTAAAATGTAAATTTTAGAACATGTTTAAATTAATATTGATAGTATTCATAAAAATTATCTATATGCATATACACTTTCTTCTGTATTCAGGATACTCGGATAATTTTCAGAGCACACAAAATTTAACAAAAAAGGGGGTAAAGAAAATTAAAAGAAACATAAGGATAATTACGTACTACAAGACTAACACAGAATTATTAATATGCTATATTCAATAATATAGAATGAAAATTACATATTATTAGATTATCACTTTTCCAGAATAAATAAAGCAGCATATTTCTTTATACAAATATTTGGAGTCAAATAATATATAATGTACCTGGAATGAAAAATCAAATTTTTAGCATGCAATTTAAATATATTTGCAGATACAATTAGGTCCACTGTTAATCAAGATCTCTAAGAAGTCAAATTCAAAATAAGAAAGGATTGTAATATTACAAAACACAATTGCTCAGACACTAACTATTATATTTTCACAGGTCATAAGTACAATTATCCATGCACAATTTTAACTGATGTTTCATTGCTTATACAGTCTTTGGAATGTATAATTTTTATTGTTCTCTCATCTGTTGAAATTTTATATGATATTTTTTAGTATTTTTGATTGCTCTATCATCTATTGAGAACTAGATTAAATTGACAAAAATCCCTTACATTCAAACATGCTGAAGACTAAAAATACACTATACATGTGAAGAATACTTTATTAATTGTTTGTACTGTCTTACTATTTAATTTATCAACTAAACTTTACTGATCCATTTTCCTTTTAAAAAGATGGGGGATTGAAAGCCAAATGAAAACTCAGGCAAAATTTATTTTGTGCTTTTCCTGCACCCAAATAACACATTTTACCTTATTAAACTAAAATACAAATATAATTTTTTTAAATGTTGCAAAAATGTAACATTAGCACATCCCTTTGTACAGATTTCTTTCTTTCTTTTTAAATTTTGAGAGGGCTGGCAAAATATGTGATGTGTAATGACAACTTAATATCTGATGTACACTGCGTAAAAGAAAAGGGGAGGGGCAGTTCTATATCTCCCATTCTACTGGGCCGATTGATGAAATTTAACTTGCATTTCATGTCTCAAGAGCGCGACTTAGGATATGTATTCAGGATTCGTACACATTTATGCACACGGAAATTAAGTACTTTTAAGGACCATTAATGAAAAAAATTAAGGACTTATGAGCAAATGAGAACTGAATAAATTCAATTAAAAATATTCTCTATGAATGAATAATACCATCCTAAAAATAAAATAGATCCCTAAGAAGTATGCATTATTACTAAACATGAGTTAATTAACATAATGATTAACAAGTTTGAGAATAAAATAAACTTAAATAACTGATTAACAAGTTTGAGAATAAAATAATGCAATTTATCAAGTAGCACTTAATATTTTACACTTATAATAGTTGGACATATTTAAAAGAAGATAAGCGACATTTACGATTACTAACAGTTAGCTTTATGTTGATTTTTTTTTATGTCTCATTTTGTCACATACTTGGTCAGTCTAGAGGTTTAGTAAGTAGCAGGTAGATTTTTATGTCAAACGGCATAGGTTAAAATGAGAAGTAAGATCATAATCAGTATGATTCATAACAAAAGACTGAAAGTTCTAACCGCTGCTGCTTGTCTAGAGAGAGACCTGCTGATTAGAACTAACCTGAAAAGCCTGATGTAGGCACGGTTGGCAAGTGTTGAAAGTTAGCCAGGCTCTGTTTGATACAGTTACTGTCATAGCTTCATGTAGAGTTCCAGGGGTTGTAACCCAGTTAATATACTTTAAGGTTCCAGTAAGGCTTAAGTCTCACTGAATACAAAGAATAAGTTTTACTTGAATTTTTACATTTTTGTGTTTGATCTTGTGACCACAGCGAGCATTAATGAAAGGCAATAACTCGTTTTAATATGTAGAGATAATTTTTAAGGGTAAGCAGTTAGTTATAAATAATTAAATTAGGCAATTTGATAACCTTAGCCATTATGGATTTACATGACCACTATTAAAAATTTTTTTTAACAGTATTGCTAAAAAAGCCCTATTAAAATCAAAATCTAATAAAATTTCACAGTTTAAAATACATGTAATTTATGACATTGATTTTTAAACGATATGAGGATAGTTACATATTAAAAGCTACAAGGCATTTATGTTTTGTAACAACAAAACAAAATATCTGTCATTTTAATTTGAAGCCTTCCCAAACATTTTGGCTAGTTTATATCAATTTCCTTCTCTTTAAGCATATTTACTAACAATTAAAGATTTGTCTCAATATGCAAACCAATGCTCTCACTAGTTTCTGTATGCTTTATCTCCTAACTTGTCAAGCTCTCCACAATGTACCTATGAGAGTTTACTTGATCTGGTAAAAAGTTTAAATAAGCCTCTTATTTAAAAAGAACTTAGAACATAAAGGCATGTTCTGATGCTAACAAAATCAATTACAGTTCATGGTGACATAATTAAACAAAAACAATCAAATTCAAACTAAAAGTGTGGACTAGTGGTCAAAGATTATACAATTTAATTTTAATTTAATCTGATTCAGTAACTCTATCATACGAGGAAATAGAAATGGGAAATTATAGTAAAGGCTGAAATCATAAACAATTAGGTAATTTACATAATAAGAACTGCACATATCTTTGAAGAATAATTTTCTTTATGTATTCAGTTTCTTTCTTCAACATGTTTCCTTTTTATTTTATAATTTTTGGATTTAATTAAGGATTTCTGTCATTCCAAAAAAAAAAAAAAAAAAAAAAAACACTAAATGCATTTAGAATGTATAGAAAAAGTGGCTTATTTTATTTCTTCAGTTATATGAACATTCAGAAGAAATATGAAATATAAATGGTACAGTCGGCCAGTTAGAGAGCTGGTGTGGCAGAATTTTTAGAATTTAGTGACACACCGAATGACAAAATCTAAAAATGGCAAAACTTTTAGAATTTAGAGCAGACATTGGAAGCACAAAATTTAGGATCCACAGAGATTGCACACAGAATGGGGAAATGTTTAGTGCCAGCTCTGTGTATGATGCATTACAACATATTAGATAGATCTTTTAAATTGTCAGTTTTCAATTTCTTTATTAATAAAATAATCCATTTCTATAATGCCTGCCCACGTGATAAGATCAGAAGCATTTTTGATATTTTCTATGCTTGTGTCTAGTGAAAAGTAGACAAAATAAAGGGAAGATAAACATGTTAAGAAAAAGACTTCTAGTATCAGACGTAAAACATTCAAATATTATGTTTTCATTGTTCTTCCAGACTTTTCCAAAAAGTAAGAAATTCATCGCAAACTTTCTGTAAAATACATCCATTACGTGTTGATACCATGGAGACATTTAAAATTTTGTCACATATTTCTCGAATCTTCTAAAAACGTGGGTCTATAAATCTTGCCTTCAAATTCTTCTAAACTTTCCAAGCTGCAATGTCTAAAATCCTAAGGAAAAATTATCACTACCAATTCTGTAACAGCAAAAAGCCAGAAATATTTTGGAAAAATTAATTTTATAGAGAAAACTGATTCATATTCCCATAATTATATGGGAAAAACTCTTATTATGAAAAATTAAAAAGAAGACATTTTTTAATTAATTACACAGCTAATTTTGCTTTTGCTAAGAGCTGTTTCATAAATTTTGCTTTATAGCACTATACCTTGTTTATTTTTCAGATTCAAAATACTGTATAATAAGCTGCCAAAATGAAACTTTATAATATAACAGTGAATAATAAAAATGTTTTATTTTAATGTTATTTTTCAAATATAATTTCAATATATTGCCATTATTTTAATGAAATTTATCAAAGTTACAATGTTTTAAAAAATCATAAAAAATTCCCTGATCTCGGAATGTAAAATTTTCTATAGAAATTGATCTTAAAATCGTCAACATATTGATAAGTTGACAAATTTAGAGCAGTTTAATAAAAGAATTCACATCCCCAAAAGCGAAAAGTTGTTTACGAGATCTTTATTAGAAAAAATTAATTTCGAAATGCTTATGTTTCACTTCTTGCTTAAAAACTCTTAAAACTGTATCCCATCATTTATATTAGAAATAGAAACAAATTACAACCCATGAACCCATTCAAAAGATAACCATATATGTCAGTGAATGGCCAAAAAATATTCCTCCATAATGCTAATTCACACTCAAAATGGCAGTCGTAAAAACAGACAGAAATTTCAGATGATTAAAATTAAGGACCAAAAATGGATTCTAAAAAACCTAAGGACTTTTAAGGACCGCACGAACCCTGGTATTACATTTATATACAGTATTCCTCTAATATAGGTATTCTGACACAAAATCGGACTTTTTCTGAAATAACATGCTAATTTTTTTCCATATTTTGATTCTCCGATTCAAATTATACCAAACTGCCAAGCTTTGTATAAATCGCACAAGTAGTTTTTAAAAAGTTAGCTCTCAAAATTTATCTGCTCAGTGTTAATTGAATTTGTTATATACATATTAACGTCTCTTTTTTTTTATTAAACATACTTGATTCCTTCTTCCATAATTCAAAATTTTGGGCTTAGTACAAAAATAATTTGTATATATTTTTTATTTATTTTAAAATATTTTTTATTAATTTTTCAAAAATTTTTTTGTATCGTCTTATTTTTAGGCACATCTGCAAAAAAATAGAGTTTTTTTTATTCAAAATTTTGTAAGATATATATAAATTTATATGTTGGAGCATTTTGAAATTTGGCATCTTTTTTTTGAGCTGTAATAATGTCAAATGTGGTTTACACACTTTGTTAAAATTGCTTGAAAATATGACTGAAAAAAATAAGCCAAGATAAATTTTTGAATTTCTCACCAAATTTTTCAAAATTTAACATTTACGCATAATTTGAGTTTTAGAATCGAAATGTGGAAATAATTGGCATGTCATTTCAGAGAAAGTCACAATACACATGCTAGAATGATACTGTATATAAATCTACCCTACAGTCAAAAGTCGTTAATTCGGACACCCATAATCTGGAATGATCTATAATCCGGACCTCAAAGCTTCAAACTTTCTGCGCATGTGTCGTGTTGACGAATGCGCATAGGCACTTACGTGTGTGCGTAAGACCTTTACGGCTGCGAATATGCGTGTGCGCATGCGCGTTTACTGTATAACGGACGGTATAAGCTAAGCTAAAATTATCTAATTCAGTTAATGTTGCAGATAGCGTTGTTCCTTAATCTTCGAGTTGGATCCGGCTTATTATTTTTTGCAGACTGTTAGAGTAATTTTATAAAAGTAAGCTTGAACTTTCGATTATATCAAATAGAATTTCCGATATATATTTGCTAATATGTAAAGGATCTAAAGCGAAAGTATGTTTCGAAATCCGAAATCTGTTTATCAATTTCACGCTGCTCGGCGGGTGGGAATGCCTCGGCGCACGCAATGAATTGGAAGTTGATCTGTCAGCACTATCCTTATCTTCAAGGCAGATGTTTTTATTTTATTTGGCTTATAATTCCTTACTAAATGTAGTATTTCATCTCGATGTACTCCGTCTTTGATATGATTTAAAATAAATTCCTCGTCATTATAATTCACTTCCAAAAGTGAAGAAAGTGACACAGAGGTTATTGAAAACGAAAAATTTTCGATTGACAAATTAATCGGTATTCTCGACACAGCAATTATAGGACTTGAACAGCAGAACTTTGTAACTAAACAAGAAATTATGCCTGTTTAATAGAATTAAAGAGAAAGTATTATCACATGAAACGAAGCAACTTAAACAACTTACATTGAAAGAAATATTTAATAAAGTAAAGAAATAAATATTAAGCTTTTTCTTTTTGTAAATTTTGATACCCTTTAGATCATAATTGTTCTTTATTTCATAAATTACGGTTTCATATTTTTAATTTTGTAATTTCTGCATGCTATTTTAACAGATTTAAACTGATGATCTATAATATGGAATCGGCGAAGTCCCGACGAGTCCGGATTAACGACTTTTGACTGTATATCCTAAGTCGTGCTTTTGAGATATGAAGCATGCAATTTAAATTTTGTCAATCGGCCCAGTAGAAAAGGAGATATAAAACTGTCTCCCCCTTTTTTTGCACAGTGTACATGGTTATACTGACTGAAAACTGCAATATGTACATATTTTCCTTTTATTATTGGAACTTTTTCCGATTACACAGCTTGATTCGTCTCAATTTCAGTAGCATTTAGTTTCCATTTGTAAGTTCGGAAAATTTCATGTTCTGCAATGTGAATTTCCCTTATTTGGGATTGCGCTAAATGGATATATAGTACAAAGTTCGTAATCTGGACTCGTCGGGACCTTCGGCGATTCCAAATTATAGATCATCAATTTAAATCTTGTAAGATGGCATGCAGAAATTATACAATTAAAAATATGAACCGTAATTTATAAAGTAAAGAGCAATTATGATCTAAAGAGTATCAAAATTTACAATATATATATATGTTTAATTTATTAAACATTTCTTTTACTGTAAGTTGTTTAAGTTGCTTCGTTTTTTGTGCTAATACTTCCTCTTTAATTCTATAAACAGACATAATTTCTTCTTCAGTTACAACGTTCCACTGTTCAAGTCCTGTAACTGCTGTGTCGAGAATACCGACTAACTTGCCAATCAAAATTTTTTCGTTTTCAATAACATTTCTGTCACTTTCTTCACTATCGGAAGAGGTATTTTCTGGATCTAGAACCATACTACAGATTTCGCTATCCATTAATTTATTGATGACTGGCGCATTGTCATCACAATGGAAAACTTCTGTTATATCATCTTCATTTATTACCGCTTCTCCACATTTCTTGACAAAATCCAATAACTGGAAAATTTCACCTTTAGTTTGTGATGTCCGGCTATCATCTTCATCGTCCTCACCATGAAATATGATAGCTGGCCATAAATTATGGCAAGCATTTTTTAACGTATTTGGAGATACATCCTCCCAACGGGCATGCATAAAGCATTAAAAAAAAAGTTGGCCTTTGAAGTCTGGATTATAGATTATTCTGGATAACGAATGTCCGGATTACAAACTTTGTACAGCATAATTTAAAAAATAATAATGAGATATCAGGCACCTGACATTTGATAAGTATAATTTTGAGAAAAACTTCAGTTCTAAGAGATTTCCTGCATTAATTTGCCATTTCTACATAAACAAATATCCAGTAACCACCACCATTATTTCATTCCCCTGACTTATTTTGTAACAGTGACAAAATTACTTCATAGCTAGCGACAATCTTATAATTTATGTTAACTTTGTGAATGTGCAATTGTTGTAACTTTTTCATCTCCTAACTCTTAAGAAGATGTATGGAAAATCAAAATGTGTTATTTTTGTAAGCATAGTTTGGAGACTTCTCAACTGCATCTTTAAACAGACTTTTTTTTCTTTTCTTTTCCTTAAATATCTGAAGAAGTACTTCAAATGATAACACAAATTTTTCATACACATTTCATATTGGTATTCCTAACAGTATCCCTATTTGCTTGCTTAATTGATTATAGCAAAACATGCTATAATCAATGCTAGATGTTTAAAGTTAGCAGGTATCTTAAAGGAATTAGCTCATATTCTTGGTACAGGTGTGAAAATGACAAAAACTTGATGCATCTAGTCTGCTCACTGGGATCTGAGCCCAAGTCAGCTATAAACATTCACTGTATTCAGTTGGGTACTAAATGATAACAATGACTTTTCCCCAGTCTGGAAATTCTCACCACATTATTCCTTTCTAATTGAAAGTTTCTTCATCATTTCAATATATTCTTAATTTCTTAGCAACATGCTCAGCACAAATTATCATCATTTATATTTCTCTATCTTGGATGTATTATGGGAACAGTTATTTCTTTACCTGTAATGGCATATATTTTTGGTGGAAAAATTCCAAAGTGCTTTTACAATTGCAATCTTTCTAACACAGACTTAGCATAGCAAACATTCACTAATTGTTTTATGATATGTTGCAGTTTTGCACAATTTAATAAATGGAAAAAAAAAAAAAAAAAGTCTTACCTAAATAAGCTATTTTCACTGAAATATTTTAGAATTAGGATATTTTTTTATGATTACATATGGAATGTATAAAATACTTTTAAATTTATGGTTTTCAAAAATCAAATTAAAAAAATATTTCTATTATTCTGCATAGCCATGGATTTTTTTTTTTTTAAACACATGTTGAACTGTAATTTATCAGTTTAAAATTCCAACAAATGCAAAAGTGAACTTTTTGCATTTTGTGTATTAAATGTTGCTAAAAGGCAATACAGCATGGTGTCACATAAACATAATATGAATTCTGTATTATACATGATGTACTTACTATTCAAGAAAAATACAAAAACATATACATTGCTGCATATTACTAAATTAAATAATAGTTGAGTATCATAATTTATTTACTTAAGACCAATATTAATGCTAAAATAAGATATGCAATTTTAAAAGTTTTCCTCCACTGAATTTACATGCATGAAATATAATAAAAATATGAATGATATACGTAGTTTAATTTTTGCATTAATTTCATTTTCGTAAATAAATTGTAGTAAACCTTTTTTAGTGTCATTCTCTAACTAAAAGCACGTTATATTTAACATAGGAGAAGATTTTCTATTACCCCAATTTTTTGTATTAATTTCACAATTTTTAACTTTATTTTAAAAATACACATAGTACTGGAAAAAAAATAATGACAACTAGCAATTTGCATAACATATGTAAATAAAATGCAGTTTCAATTATTATTATTATTATTTATTTATTTTTATCTTTCCAGATTTTAGCTACATTTTTATGGTCTGTTGCAGTAATTGGATTTTCAATTATTATAGGAGTATTTACAAGAATAAACAGCTGAAAGAGATATTTATAGTGGGTGATTAAAATATACTTTTTATACAGCAATGTAATCTCAGCCACTTTAATATTTTTTATATATAAAATATTATTTCAAATAAAATCTTAAATTATTTACATTGTGAGCATCTTATTAAACTTAATATATCTAAATGTACTTGAAATTAATACAAGTACATTGGTTATGGGCTTGACTTGTTACATCACTACACTCAGAAAGAAATTAACAATTTACAACACAAAGTCCAAGATCTGGACTCATCGAGACTTTAGTGATTTAATTTTTTTTTTTTTTTTTTTTTTTTTTTGGATATTTGATCAGTAAAATGACATGTAGACATTACAAAATAAAAATATGAAATAGTGGCTTATCAAATAATGAAGCATTTATGACCTTAAGATAATTAAAAATGAAAAAGCTCAACCTTTATTTGTTTGTTAAATTTTTCGTAGAAACTTTTCTTCGAATGTTCCTTCATTATCATTAATACAAGTAGTATTTTCAGGATTTAGAACTGTACATATACTAATTGATAATTGAAGCTTTACCACCATAATGAAAAACTTCTGTTATTTATTACCATTTTTCAACAAATTTTATTAATGGGAAAATTTTGCTTTTTGTTTGCAATATCTGAAAACCTTCAAATTCACAGCTGTTTAACCCTCTGAGCGTTATGACCCGCTTTATTAGGTCATCAGAAGTTTTGCTACTTGGCATATATTAACTTATTATTTAAGATATTTTTCTTTCTTACTTTCTTTAATAATGTAAATATCATCTTAATGTAAAGTTTATGAAAATATGGCCTAAAATAAGTAATTATACAAACTCAATTAATAAATGCTGTCTAAATACCGGTCTTCATGACGGATCTAAAATCCTTTGCCGCTCAGAGGGTTAATAAATAAAACATAGTGAGCATCTGTTATACGTGATTGGAGATGTATCACGAGACTGGCAATTAAAGACATGTTGTTCAATAAATTTTGTCTTGCTTCTACTGCACATTAACAAAGCCTAATCATATTAACCCTTTCGCTTTCCTCTCCTGTCCGCGAAAATTTCTCCACAGCGGTCCTTTGTTTTTTGTAGCGTGTAATGTTGTTTTCTCTGTACATACATAACTTTCGTAGTGGATGAATTTAAATGAATATTATGTAAAATTATAAGGAAATAAAGCATAATGGAAAAGTAATACTATCTCTGCTTATTTCTAACAGCAGGATTAATTTGATAATTTGATCCAGGCAGTCCACTCCTCCCATTTTGTTGTTGTAATCTTTTACAATTATTGGTTTTTTTACAGTTTTTTTCCGTGTTCCAACATCAATATACAGCAATGTAATCTCAGCCATTTTAATATTTTTATATATAAAATATTATTATAGAGTTATTATGGACTGTATTCATCAAATGTATATCCTTCTTGTCTTTCCAATTCACAACCTCATTTTTTCTCTTTTTCTGCCAAGTAGACGTTGGAGATCTTCTCACTGTCTTCTATCTTATGTAAAACGGCGTGAATATTCATAAAACCCAGGGGGATTCAATTAGAAATAGAATGCCTGATTAGTACTGCCCTGTGGGAAGTATTAGGGGAAAAAATAAACATTTAGAAAGCACTTTAAGCGTTTAAAAGTTTTAAAATGTAGGAGAACATTTTAAAATGTTGAAGCATTTTACAGCCGCTCTGCAGAAGTTTCACTTGAATGCTCTAGACGCGTTACGGACGACGAAGAGGTTAATATAGTTATTTACTATACCTATACCTATTCCCCACTCATGCTTAAAGCTTACCTAAGCTATGAATAAATAAATTCCCACATATATTTAAGACTTATCCAGGCCGTTGCTAGAAACTTTGCAGCCCGGTGCAGACTTTCTAAATTCTATTGCCCGATGCATCTCTAAATTAAAAAAAAAAAAAAAAAAAAAAAATTGTTGCCTTTCCTAAATTCTGCCACGTCAGCTTTGATGCCAGTCTAGAGCTTATCCATCTCTAAGAAATTCAATTCAAACAGCACTAAAGGCAATCTTGTTGACTACGAGCATCATTTAATAAATCTACTTTTTGCATACGGAAAGAAATTTATTAAATTTCTTGTCATTAACTTTGCAGCACATTTAGCTAAGTCAGTAATTATCGGCTTAATGCCAACACAAAAGGCTACCATATTCTTTGATATTCAATAACTACTACTAAACTAACTAATAATAATAATAATAATAACTGTTTAGACATCCCTGTGCAAGTCATTTCTCAAGCTACCATGTGTTGATACTCATGGTGTGATGAAAGCAAATAATAAATTACCGAGCTGGTTTCAGGTAAATAAATTATTTAATAGGTGTAAAATAAATGATGTTTTGATTTGAAATGCATGGTAAGCAAAAAGCTGAGAACCAAATTACTGATCACACAGGTTTATCTAATAAATGATTGTTTATTCAATATGGAGGTACTTTTTATAGTGCTGAAAGGAAATTAAGAATCACAACTCGCATGTTTTACTACGAAAACATATCAAACCTGTATCCAGAAAACATTCAAAGATTGTTTGTTTCAAACAAACAAAAAAGTCATTGGTAACCTGGAGGTTTGGACTTTGGATCAGTCTGGATATTGGATGTCCAGATTTGGATGTTTGTTCTGTACAATTTCAAACAGCTTGAGCAGAAAGATATTAACGATTTCTCCTCAGCACATGAGAAGTTTCAGCAATTGCAAAACATCACTTGCAAAGCAAACTCACAATTCAGCTAAATAACAGCCAGAACAGCAACAATAACAACATAATCAAGCTCGCTTAAGCTGCATTTATAGACATGAGCTTCCAGAAAATTCAGGAAAAATATGTCATGTGAATAGCACACCTTTAAAATTGCTTAAGCTATTTTTACATTCTGAACCATTGCTACTCTCAGAACAATAAAATCAATAATTCTATACAAAAAAATCAAATACACATAAAATCTCTCTCTATGTATGTATACTGCTGGACATTACATTTGCAACAGTATGAAAGGAAGCAAATACACAAAAGATATTTATTGCAGGTAAACAGTACGGCATGAAAACAAAATGATTAAATTTGTAAGCATTTTGGAGGTTTACGAGGGTGCGGAATCAGTAGAAACAGCTGCCACCCCTCACAGTTAAAATTGCCCTTACCCCATTAGGCATGGAGTCAAACTGGGCTTTCATGACAGAAATGGGCAACTCATTCCATGCTGCTTCAAATCTATGCCAGACTTCACCTATGTCTATGTCACACCGTATTACTGGAGATGGGTGGCGAACCAATTTCTCGGGAACCTGCGAGCAAATTTTTAACAGTGAAATAGTAATTATACCTCCATTTACTTTAGGTATTTTCTAACTTTCAACAGAGCCTTTTATCTTAACCCTAGAAGCATTTACTTCTTTAAAAAATGCAAGAAGTAGGTTCCATTGATCGAGAATTCTAGATAAACATTTCTTTAAAGATAGCCAGCATGTATATACATGTTTCAATTTAATTTTTTTTTTTTTTTTTTTTTTTTTAAATTTCAGTATTATACAGCTGTTGGAATTGTTTCATTTTTCCCCCCTTTTAGAACTCCTTTCAAGATAATAAGTATCAATGTGTTCATCCACACTTATTGGTAAAGAAGATGCCCCTTTTTCAGCTGCTAAATTAAAAAGTGACTGGAGCACCTCATAATTTGCAAATCTGAATTTTCCTTTTTTAAGATGCCTGCATCACCAGTTTTCAAGGCCTACCATTACTGGCATTATTGGCACCAAGTGCTAAGCAATTATCCAGAGGAATTGCTCTTTCTTTTAAATAAAATAAGTTTTAATAATTAGCTGTGCTATATTAGAGCCTGTCGAAAGTCCTTATAAAGCGGACACAGAAAGCAAACTATACTCAGTTTCTGAAAACACTGGATTAAAAAAAGAAAACACTGGATACAGTTTTCAGTCAGTCTTATTGCTTCCATCCATAGAGAGGCAGAATAGGGCTGTTTTAATGCAATCAATAACTGAAGATTTATTTTTCATACCCATTTTTTTTTAACAATTGAAGCTGTCTTGGTGCTTGCACTTGACATACTTGAGTATTTCTTAGGGATTTTGCTTTCGGGAAACATTTTTCTAAATGAAGCTGTAGTATGATCCAATGCATTCAATGGCAGGTTGTGTTCTAGTAAAAAGGCACAGAACAGGCATTTTGCATTAATAACGTTTTGGTCCTTTGTTTACACAGAAAAATTTAATTTTTTGCTTCTTTTTTTCAATAGAACTCCTGTTGCTCTTGTATTTTTGTGTATGCAAATGTTTGAGAACATGCAAACTTCCACCGAGCAAAATCTAAAAATTGCAATGAAAAACAGTACACATCGTATACGTATTAAATTTTCTTGAGAAAATAATAGAAGAAAAGTCTTCTGTGTACGATTTTCGAAAAGCACATGAGTATTTTACCTTTTTTGCAGACATAACTAAAACAAAAGATCATAATTTCTTATCTATTTTTCAAGAGATGTGCACTCACACTACTCAGCGACAATATGAACGAAATAACAAATAACCTCGATTTTGCATTGCACTCCATGGCTAATATATGCCAGATGACACACAGTGGCGCCTGATGCTCATTGGAGAAACAGGAACAGATGTTTTTGGACACTTATGCTCTTACTCACAAAGCAGAAGTTCCCCATAATTTCTCACTTATGAAAGGACTTTGGTTTTCTTTTATATGGATTATAAATTTGGAGAAAAACCAAGTGCTTTCAGATGCCTAAAATCACTTTTTTTTGGGGGGGGGGTGAATATAACAAAGTATTAAGTCAAGCTACATAAAAATCATGAGAAATTTTAAGAATAAGAGAAAAATCAAGAGAAGTGTGTTGTAAATTGGGTTGGCGAGAGAACAGTCGGTGGAGAAAGTTGGCAACTCTGCTCTCGAAACAACAGAATCAACAATTTCATATAAAAGCCATCCCCCCCCATAAACCTCCCAGTTATTAAAAAAATATTGCAAAATAAATACAAATAAAAATAATACATTTAAAGTTCATATTCAATATTCAGTTCGCAATAAACCATACAAAAAACAGAAGGATGGCGGCACAGGGCAAGAAAAAAGGGGGAAAACATGCCAAAACCAAACATGGGATCGTCAGAGGGTTGGCACGGGGGGGGGGGGGGGGAAACAAATATATCATCTTGTTTCTGAACCAATAAAGACACGAAACTTAAAACTTAAAATAATCTGCGTCTTTGTTATTCCAGCCCCTAAAGGCTGAAGTAAAAGTGTAAAAACTGGAAAATTAAAGCATCAAGAACATATATTTAAAAAAAAAAAATGAAACCACATGGGCTGGGAAAATAATAAAATATATATATATATAGCATCAAAATCATAAACAAGCAATAAAGCTTAAAAACCTAATAATTTTCAATTGAAATGGACCAAGTTAAAAAAATATATAAAACAGAAGTAATCCAACATATGAAAAAAAGATCTAAAAACATAAAATGAAAATAAAAACAGAGTTAATTTTTAAAATCAGTAACATTAGAGCAGAAAAAGTCTTGAAATGTAAAAACACATGTATATTCGACTTGTTATAATAGCAAAATACTGTTGCTAGTGTAAAGTAATGAATTTAGATAAAATTATGAATTTTAAACTGATTAATACAGTCAAAAGTCGTTAATTCGGACATCCATAATCCGGACCTCAAAGCTAAAAACTTTCTGCGCATGCGCCGCGTTGGAACATGCGCACAGGCGTTTTACGCATGCGCGTAAGACCTTGACTACTGCGCATATGCGTGTGCGCAAGTGCAGAATACGTTTTCGCCTGCGCGTTTTATGTATAACGGACGGTGTAAGCTCTAATTATCTATTTCAGTTAATGTTGCAGATTGCGTTGTTCCTTAATCTTGGAATTGGATCAGGGTTATTATTTTTTGCAGACTGTAAGAGCAATTTTATAAAAGTAAACTTGAACTTTCGATTATGTCAAATAGAATTTCCGATGCTGGAACTTCCAAAGGATCTACAAAACGAAAGTATGTTTCGATGTCCAACAAACAAAAAGTGGAATTGCTGCAAAAAATGGATAAAGACATGAAGAATGTGACAGAGAGGTTAGTGAAAACGAAAAAAATTCGATTGACAAGTTAGTCGGTATTTTCGGTACAGCAATTAACGGGACTTGAATAGCGGAACTTTGTAACTGAACAAGAAATTATGTCTTTTTATAGAATTAAAGAGAAAGTATTATCACATAAAAATGAAGCAACTTAAACAACTTACATTGAGAGAAATGTTTAATAAAGTAAACAAGTAAATATTAAGCTTTTTTTTCTTTGTAAATTTTGATATCCTTTATATCATAATTGTTCTTTATTTCATAAATTACGGTTTCATATTTTTAATTTTAGAATTTCTGCATGCCATCTTACGAGATTTAAACTGATGATCTATAATCCGGAAAAATCGATAATCCGGAATCGAAGTCCCGACGAGTCCGGATTAACGACTTTTGACTGTATTAATAAAAATAATTAGAAAAAATATCTTTATATATCCACAAACACAAAAACATTAAATAAAAAATAACTAAACAATGCAACAAAAAGGATTTACAACTATACACATGCACAATTATTTATGTTTACAATCAAACCTCAATCTATCTTTTCTGTATGCATTGTTCATTATTTTTGGTTCTGAATATAAGTCTGCAAAATTAATTTGATTTATTCCTGCATCAGTGATTCCCTGAATTATCACTTAATTATATGCCAAATTTACTGGAGGAAGAAAAGGAAAAAACACGAAGTATGTATTTATTATTTGCATTACTTTTTTTTGGAAGACATTTATACAGAAACACAACCTGCAGTAATGTTTTACATGGCTCTCAGCATTGCGTCTATGTTATTATCATTATTTCTAAATGTCATTTAATTGAAATATATTTTGAAACTTTTTGATTATCTGCCTCTCATGAAAAGTTGTCAACTGACAAATAATAAAGTGAACAGTTGCTGTAAAAGAAATGTGGCTGTCTTCACATAAGTTTCAAACTCATTTTGAACTATTCCAATGCCTAGCTTTAGTTTTTGACATCCCTTTTCCACAAAACAGTCATTAAGGATGAACAGTTACATAGAATGTGACTTTTCGAATTCTCTATTGTTGGGCAAAACATCAAATTTCTAAATAAATCAAACAGTTCCTATCTCATCAGCCAGTAAACTCCCCAGTTATGTTAAAATATTCTTCAAAAGCATGTAGAAGGCACTATTCAGTGAAATGACATTTAAATATAAAGTGCATAAATATATGTACACTCAAACACATATATGGTATGTATAGGTGTGGCTTGATTGTTGCTATGCAACTGTTACAGGAAAATATGCCAAGAACATGACAATTCTATAAAATGTTGAAACACGAGATATAAGTTTTCGGTTTAGGTCTATAGAGAATATTGAGGAATAAGATAAAAATGAATAGCAGGTAGTGTTAAGTTTTATCAAGACTTTCCCAACCCCTCCTTATGCATAAATGAAAGTGATATAACCATGAAAATAATTGAAATCTCAAAAGTTTATAATTTCAACTTAGGCAAATTTGAGTCACATAGTTTTTTTCTGGGGGAGGGGGGGGGAGTATATATTTTTTTTTATTGCAGTGTATTCATACTGAAAATACACACTATTTATTTACAGTTTTACTTATTCATGATGTGTAATAGCTTCTGGCCTTGTTTCTTTTCCCCCCAAATCAAACTGGAAAATAATAAATTTGGGTTTCATTATAATATTTATCTTATATGCAGATTTCTGTAAATGGTTTTAAAGGTATAACTCTGCAGTTAATGTTAAAAATATGAATTCAGAGTAATAAAGCATCAATAAAATTATAACAAACTGAAATAAACTTACTTGAAATACATCATTCAACACAGATTTCAAAAGATTCAACTTCAGTAAAATGCTTATTCATTTCTTGGATCAACTTCTCTTCTCTTAACTGAAACCAAAATTAACTTTTTGTTATTATTTCATAAATTATCATCAAATCAGCCCCAAATGATTATCATCACATAAACAAGTCCTACACTGAATTTCTCATACCACTTTATTATGTTAACATGCACAGTTGAATACTTTTGATGGCTACTATGATATTCTCTTTACATATAATCATGTAACAAGAAAATTCAAATACAAATTTTCTGTGTTTATGTCAGGTGAAAGTGATGCAATCAAAAGTCTTGAATCCGGACTCGTCGGGACTTCATCGATTTCAGATTATAGATCATCAGTTTAAATTTGGTAAGATGGCATGCAAAAATTATAAAATTAAAAATATGAAACCATAATTTATGAAATAAAGAGCAATTATGATCTAAAGGGTATCAAAATTTACAAAAAAAAAAAAAAAAAAAAAAAAAAAAAAAAAGGCTTCATATTTATTTGTTTACTTAAAACATTATTAAACTTTTCTTTCAATGCGCACATGTGTAAAGCATAGTCTTCAATGCGCGCATGCATAAAGCATATGCATTACACATAGACGAAATTAGAAAATTGGAACCAGAAAACTATTTGATGTGTATTCGTGATATTTATAATGACGAGGTATTTGATTTAAATCATATCAAAGACGGAGTACATACATTTAGTAAGGAATTATAAGCTGAATAAAATAAAAACATCTGCCCTGAAGATGAGGATAGTGCTGACAGATCAACTTCCAGTTCATAGCGCGCCGTGACGTTCCCCCCCCCGCAGCAGTGTGTAATTGATGCATTAATGCATCAAAACGCATTAATGCGTTTATGCATGCGCAGAAAGTTTGTAGCTTTGAGGTTCGGATTATAGATCATTCTGGATTATCGATGTCCAGATTAAAGACTTTTGACTGTACTATTATTAGCCACCTGTATAATTACAACAGCAGATGAATTAGAAATCACAATATAGTGATTGCATCTTTCATTCTGTAAGCATTCAGAGGCATATTCGTAAATCTCTGGCAAAATGCAAGCATAACATATTTTGTGAACACAGAATATGCTCAGGTAATAAATAAAGCTCAGAAGAATCAGACTTTGAATTAATGTGATGCAGAAATCAGCATCATAGAAGAAGCAGCAGATTCTGATATTAATTTACAAAGAAATGAATAATAGACTGATTTGAAATTAGATTTTACGTTTGTATTATAATAATGTATCTCTTTAAGAGTTATTTTACCATTTTATTTTATTTACTGATTATATTAGTATCAGAGTTTTTACATATCAGAAATTAAAAAGTGCATTCTATAATTGATGACATATGGTATTATTGTATTTCCAGAAAATAAAGAGGAGCCTCAGTGAATATAATGATGACATTAATAAATGAAGAGACAACATCATTCAATTTAAAACAAATTTGGGACAAAATGAAAAGTAACTTGCAATATATTACATAAAGAATTATTAAAATGGTTTGCATTTTTAAAAGGTAAAATTGCACATGCTTCTGTTTTCATAAATTCAAGTTATTAATCTGTTTTCCTTCTAATTCAGAATAAGCAGATGGAAAAAAATGAAAGTTCTCAGACTTGACTGAATGACAAAATTTTCCCGTACTAAACCTCCTGAGACAATAAGAAAGTGTCCTTCCATCCCTCAGAAGAGGAATTTCCTTCTATAAGTGAAACTGATAATAGATATAAAAAGAATTGCAATAGAGAGCAGCATTTATAATAGAATTGAATTTTTTCATGCAAACTACAAGACTGGTTAATTTGGTAATTTCATTGTGCAAAGCATATGATAGCTATATGCCTAAAGGTAGGGATGTCTTTGTGAGCAACTTTCTAAGGGAAATTGGCTCAGATCCACGTTAAGCATGGGCAAAACCATGAAAACACCCAAGCAGCCAGCCCGTTTGCCAGGATACGAACCTGGGTCAAACTACTAGTGTTCAGCAACTTTAGTTCTCTATGCTTGACTAAGAAACTGGACAAAATGTCCTTGGGGCTGCTAAAGGGGATAAACTTACTTAATTTAAAAATAAGTATTTTACTGTTTCTGCAATAAAATGCAAAGTAATTAGATATCACAAAAGTAAGCAATTTAATTCTGTAATTTTCTATTTTTGTTACAGTTATGCACTGAAATTCAGTTTCAAAATTCATCTATATTCACAGATATGGAAAGCAAATTTCTTGGCATGTAAAAATGAATAAATAAACCTAACAAAGATGCATGTAAAGAAATGAGAGATATATATATATATATATATATATATATATATACTGCATATTTCAGTGTATAACATGCAGTTTTAATACAAAAAATAAGACTGAAATTTAAGAGTGTGCATTATATGCTGGATATAAAAATTATAATTTAAAAATAAGGAAAAGATGACCATGCAAAAATTAGATTTTTACATGTACCTAAATGCTCTTGCCTCTCAGTATCTCGACTCTTCTGTAAGACCACGAAGAGAACTACATTGAAGCAGGTGGTCCCTGTCCATTTCTCTAGAATTACCAAGTGGGAAAATAGGATTGTTTGAAATGCCTATGCGGTGCAGGTGGACGGCAAGGCAATCATGTCCTACAGACAGACAGAAAGCCACAATTGTACTGCGTCTTGGACTATCGGGAATAAGAGAAGGACTTAACATTATCCAATTTTTTAATGCTGTATGAGTCTGAAGATCTGGTAAGATATTAGACATAAAAAAACTTTTTGAATTGAGCGAGTAAGACGAAAAGCAAGACCACCTATTAGATCGATAGATGATGTAGAGCAAGATTTAAAGTTAATTGGAGTTAATCAATGGAAGGCTACTGCACGGAATGAAGTCAGGTGGAGGAAACTTGGAGAGACAGCCTTGGCCTGTAACAGGCTGTGGAGTTTATGGAGAAGAAGAAGGTATGCATTCCAAGTAATGAACTTTAGTTTTGGTTCTTAACAGTTTTTCGGCATTTGATATCCAGTTAGAGATGAGATCAATAATTCCCTAAATTGGAAGATTAATTTTACTCTTTCTGTCTAAAAAAGTAAATATAATTGTGTATGCAGATTTCAGTTGTAAAGCTATTTTATCAAAAATTTCAGTCAAAATATAAAAATCAACTTTTTTTAAAATTTCTGTACAATAAATTGAATAAAACATACTGGTATCTTGACCAGATTTCTTCAAAATATGCTTAGCAGTCAACATGTTAAACTACTATTTCCCACTAAACATATTTAGGAGATTTAGAGAGGTATTATTAATCAAAAGGGAAATGAAAAGCTTGTGATTAATACTTGCAAAGTTTGGCCTTAACATTATAAAACACTTATTTGATTGCACAAACAACATAATTCTGGATTTTTACAAGAATCGCACAAAATCATGCCAATCTACCCTTGCAAAAGTTCTAATATGCAATATTCAAGTTTTTACTGAGATCAGATAACTTATCTGTAAAATGCCACCGAGCGACTGCAATCTGTATTAAAAAAAGGGAACAGGAACAATACAGCATATAAGATACTGACTTCATTGAAGCACCTCAGATACTGTTTACTGTGTGAGCTTATGGAAGCAATGCTGCAGCCACACCATTTATCAAGTCAATGTGGAAGATGTAATGGAGACATATTGCTGCTGATTTAAAAAATTCCGAGATGGAAACCAGTCAGCATGTTCTGGATGCATTAGTAGTTTTTGACAATGTCTTGGAAGCACTATAAAGAATAGACAATATCTAGCCATCCACAAATTAGGGAAATGTTGGTATGCAAAGCAATAATCAAAAGATGGAGGCAGATACTTTAGTTCATGAAATTTGACCAGCAAGCCCCAACCAACTTTATGCAAAGAAATGAGAGAAAAGAATTCATACATCTGCTTTCTTGTTATAAAAGTGAACCACTTCTAGATTTAATTGTAATAGAACATGGGGAATGAATACTGTATTATAATGTTAAGCACTGAAAGACTGTGCAAGTTAAAGAAGTGTTCCATTAATATCAAAGGAATAGTGGATCTTGAAAAGAATTTTTTCAAGTATACAATGGGATATCGAAAGAGTAATGTATTGCATACTAAAAGAGTAATCTAGAGACATGCGCACACAGTTAATTTAAGGCATCACTTTGAAGCACCGAACTTATGCTTTTCTAAACACAATTTCCTTATATAACAAAACAACTTTAAATAAAGCAGACAACTATGAGACATCTCAACAATTTATGACATTAATAATTAAAACATAAAATGTTATTGAAGAAGTTTGATTTTTAGATTTTAATTTATAAATTAATTTAATTATAATAATTAATGTTTTGTAATTTTAATTTATAAAGTATATTTATCAGCCATTTTAGACATGATCACATATAAATCATACTTGCACTACTACTGTTTGAAGATTTTAGAAAATTTGGAATTGTTAAACAAATTACTCAGCATTCATGGTAATAAAAATTAAAACAAGAAATTATTATTTAAATAATATCATATAAAAGTTTTACTTGTCAAATTTTATGTTATTTTACTAATTCATAAACACTGATATAAGAAGCTGGACAAACCTGTGCAGTAGTTTTTTTCTTCTGCTGACCTGACTTTTTTGTTTTGATAATATGTTTTCCAAATTGCTTTGGTGTATCATATGCTTTTTTCGGTTTCCGGACAGATTCTTCCAGGTTATCCTTCACTGGTGATAAACAAGGGTCCTCTGGAAACAAATTTATTACTACTCCTGTTTTGCGTAGTTCTTTTTCATTTTTTAACTTGTGTTCTTCTTTAGCTGGAGATTGAAAAAGAACAATTTCATCTTCAGTTATGTCATTTATTTCAGTATTCGATACAGTTAAATGAGGTAGTGATTCAGGTGTGTGTAAAAGTTTCCCATTCATACATGGTGATTTTGGGCACATTACAGAAGACATTTCTGATAATTTTGTATTAGGTTGCACATTATTACAATGCTGGTCTTTAGAATCCGGAGTGGAAGTCATCTGAGGTAATATAGATTTTTCAAAACTAGAATAACATTGCTCATTAGCTACATTTCTGGCATTTTGGGGGGCTGACTTCAAAATTGTAACATCTTCTATTTCCTGTTCTAATTGGTTACAAACTATTTCAAAATTCTTTGGTTCTTTCTCAGATTTATCCTCTTTAGAATGATCAGTCTCGGTATATTCTTTATTAAGTTGTACTTGGCACTCACGTTGTCTAGCATCACTTGATCTAACAGTATGCTTATTTTCAGAATTTGATTGAATATTAATTATTTTGTTATCTACTGAGGAAAGGCATTTTCGCTTAGAAGCATGTGATAATTTCTCTTTCCTAACCCAGGCTTTACTTGTTTTACTTTTTAAAGGTATTTTGGATGGTATTCTTGTAACCTTTTTCTTTTTAACTGCCTTCTCTGTCATAAGTTGTTCATCTTGCAAAATATCATAAATATCCCTCTCATGTATTTTTTTCATTTGTTTATTAGCCGGTACGTTGTTATCATCTGCCAATCGTTTCCAAACAGGAATGGATTTTTGAGGCATATTAATGTCATTTTCATCTTTCGATTTCTTCTGAAAATAAGAATCAATTTTGTTATTTGCAACTTTATTTGAATTTTGTAGCTTCCTCTTCTTTGCATGCTTCAGAAAATTGGTACTGAGAGGAATTTTCGTATTTTCTTTATCATCATTACTCGTAATACATTTAATTTTATTAATTTTTTTCTCAAAAGAATTTTCCTTCCTAACATTTTGTCTCAAATTCATTTTTTGAAAACTGTCATTTTTATTTGAAGCAGGTGTTTGTGATACTTTGTGACACAAAGTGTTAGCTTTGGCAAATATAACATTTGTCTTATCTAGCATCACTGCTTGACGTCTTGTTCGATGCATCACTTCTTGAAAACTGTAGGAAAATAAAATATATTATCTTTTTATGACACTGTATATTAAAAAGACTTAGAAAATGATATATATCAGATGTATTCAAACCTTATAGTGGCACAACCCCACTATAAATTTCTGTGATCCTAAATGGGGTTGCGACCCATAGTTTGAATACCAATGCCCTATATTATTTTGAATTAAAAACACATTTTTATAGTATTAATATAAAAGATGTTTACTTTCTCATTAAAATTATGTAGTGATATTAGGCATAATACTTTTAATTCTAGAATGTGCATTATATTCATTGACTGGATTGAAAATGTTGATTCACAGATTACTGGTGTGAAAATGTTAAATGAAAATTAAAGAAATAAACAAATTATAAATTACAAAACAAATCAGCAGGAACACATTATAACACACAACAGTAAGATATACAACATTGTCTTTTGATAGTAATTCCAACTTTGAGTATGAATACAGAATGTAATGCAAACTTTACTCCACTAGCACAGTAGCTGGTCCACTTAAGTATGACCCCTTATCAATTTCTGTAAGTCCTGCACAGTAGTTCTAAATACATTCACACTTCAAAGGTGTGTCCTCTAACAAATATTTTTTCAACTAATGGTCAGTCATGCAACAAAAGCAAAATGCAGCATTTTAATAGAACGCATATTTTATTATTCTGCTGTAGACAATGCTATACAGTTATATACATTTCCTTATCATATTTAGAGTCATAAGGCTAAATACTAGAACCTTATTTTCATGCCCAATAGACAAAAAAGAAAAGTTGGAAATAATTAATAATAAAAAGATGAGTTGCTAAAGATTTCATTTTGGATATGGCCAATCAACTATGCAAAGTAATTTATCTTACCAAGAGAGGTAGATGTCGGCAGGCCAGCACCTCTGTAGTTCCATGGGTGATTGAAGTGTTATTGAACCTAGCTAAATGTTAAGCTTCTGGCCCAACTGAGAGAGAATACCCCACGAAGGGGATTCCAGGATCTCTCGCCACTAACCTTTTGTCCTCTCTAAAAGACTTTCTGCTTGCCACGTATTTTCAATGCTTCCTTACCACACAGACAATATTTATGCTTACAAATATCCATGCTATCTCCGGGATTTGACACAGTCTATCAGTAATGCAGTCAGTGTCATTAACCACTATACTGGCCGGGCAGCTCTTACCAAGAGAAATACAATTGACTTCAGTAAAAAAAAGTGTAATTGAATGTACACAGCACCAAATTAACAAATGAGATTAAGTATGCATTTGGACGATATGCTGGAAAACTTTTACAATTATTCATTACCAAAAGTATAAATTAAATAATATGCTTAATTTATTACACATCTAACAATATACACATAAATAATATAAAAATATATTATGGATGTAAATTTAATAAAAAATACTAATAAACATGTTGCTTTAGAAAGTATCAGTTAAATAGCAAAATGGCATCTATCATAAGTAGGAATTCTGCAGTGTTGACATGTACCTTTTTAAAACTATACTAGGTGAAAGATTCTGTCAATATTCAATTCACTTTATTAATCAAATTCTTCTTATTTTGTTTTTCAAATTTCAAAGTAGCTTTTGCTTTATCCAAAAAAAAAAAAAAAAAAAAGGGGGGGGGGGTGGAATCAAGCATAAAACAGTGCCAAGCACTAATACCTTAAAAATTTAAATTTACTGAAATAAAAAAAAAAAAAAAAACTGTCTTCATATAATTACTTCTCTGTCTCTGCCAAGAATGATTAAAATGATTCTTTGAATCTGTGAATTTGGAATGGACTGAAATTTTGAAGCATGTTCGTTGGGTAGTACACATTAACAACAGCTATTTTTCAATTGCTTCAAAATTGGAAAGAGATTCAAAGTTGTTTTGATATTATTCCTCAGTATCGAAAATTATCATCCAGTACTTTTATTAAAGATGTCTTAAAGAACTGAAATATATAATTTTTTGCTGGAAATGGTATCTAAATCACTGGATCACTCTGAACTACAAACTAATGAAACGTCTCAGTTTTAAAATACAGCAAAAGACAACTTTTTCTGACAGCAAGACAAATGGACTCATTGGAATGCCCATGTCAGGTTCAACAAATGACAACCTGCAAGCTAAATCCAGCCCACTGCCTGCTTTTCAAATCAGCCCACAATTTAATTTTTTTTTTACATAAAAAATCAATCAAATTACACATTGTAACACAATGGCCAATAGTCGAGTTGAGAAGCTGTGAATAATGATTGCACATGGTGCTATTGACATATATTCATATTTTATTGTTTGCCATTGCCATAGAATGTGCACTTCCTATTGTTTTAGTTTTGATTTAGTGGTACACATAGAATTGTTAAGCTAAGCATACATCATGATATTCAAAACTCACAAAAAATGAAAGATTGCTGAATCTGTAAAGTTTTAAATGGAATGTTTCATCACAACACAATCAATTTATGTAAAACAAGGGGGGGAGAGCAGATGATGAAGCAGTAACCAAAGTCAGCTTACTAATACAGAGGGTGTTTACACATTTTTAGAACAGCTTTGGGGCAATTTCATTAATGCATAAAATGTAAACAGTATTTTTTTAAATGCTTGATCTGATAGCCTTTTTTCTGGACTGTAAGTCTGCATTATGATTTCCATGACAGAAGGGCTTTTCATAAACTTTTTAGGAGCACTGATTTCCATTCCTCTTCCACTACCTTTCAGAATACATCAATCATGGTGGGTTTCTGCTTAGAAAGAGCTCTTTTTATGAGATCAAAGGCACAACAGTCCATGTGTGACATTAGCAGACTTCACAGGAATATGTTCCAAAAGGTATATATATATATGCAATACCTGAATCAGTCTTCATTTCGTCAAGGAAAGCAGAAGTATCTTTCAAAGTATGACTTGTTACTTTGCCTTGATCAGTGATTCTCAGCCTTTTTAAAGTTGCCGCTGCATCTCAATGCCCCTATGTGAAAATCCTGTAATTTAGGGTGTGGGAAAGGGTGGTTCATAAATTATAAAAGGTAAAAACTTTAAGTAATTTTCTCAGTAGACTTACACAGAAAATTTGTTTATTTAACTCGAAACTTGTGCCCCCGAAGGTAATTACATTAATTAGTTTGGTTAAAACTGAAATGACTAATAAAAAAAATTTAAATGCTCTTTCATGTTTAAAACATTCTTCATTCTGAACTAAATAATTAAAAAATGAACAACCCAAAAATACCCTAAACGAGCAATATCAATGAAAAAAATCAAGTATGATCAGTGGGATGTTTGTGCTTGATGTCCAAAGTTAGTTTCGGAACATTCGGTTCAGTATTTTTAGAGAGATGAAGGTACAAGTCACTTCTTTCCACAATTTGGAGTTGACTTCTCTTTTTTGTAATTAGATCAGTTACAAAGCTGAAACCTCGCGCAACAAGTTAGGAGAAGGGAAGGCAATTAATATATTTTTGGCGATAGTCCACAATTCTGGGTAAAGGTGACCGATGCTACTTTGAAGCTAAAATTCTGTGAGACAATTACCATTCTGGAAGCTGGTTTCATAAGTTCGACTAATTCCTCCTGAATCTGAACCTATGCTTTCTCAATATTCATAAAAGGGTTCATGATCCAACAAGAGACTTCCAGAAAATGCTGAAAAAAGTCCTTGTGCAAAGACTCAAAATGCTGAGAAGTCTTTGTAAAAAACTCAAAGTGTTGACAGTAAACTTGTGTTTCATCAAATGGAATTTCACTGCTTTTATGTAGATCCAAAGGTATTGGAAACTGGCTGAATTCATTGCAACCAAAATTCTGCTTCCATTAAGTAAGTCTTTGGAAGGCAGAAATGACAGATTTTGTTGTAATCAAATTGAGCTCTTTGCCTTGAAGCTGCAAATTAATTCCACTGAATTTTGTGAATAAATTGGTCATGTAAGGAATATCAATCTTAAACTGTAGCAATCTAACTTTCAGTGCTACATCTTTCTTTTTGAGGAACTCAAGTACGGAGTCAAAGATTCCAGAACCTACCGAAGCAGGCACCTTTGGACAGCCAGCAAACTTTGGTGTGTAAAAGCAAGCGATTGAATTCTTCATCGTTGTCTTTACACAGCTGTCCGAATAATCGATTGTTGACAGCATTACTATGAATTGTGTTGACAGCAAAGATGACATATTGTAATGACTGATGCAAACGCTCGATGAGATTTTTTGCAACTAAATGCTGCCTGTGAATTACGCAGTGAACAGCTAAAATACTCAATACTTCTTTCTTTAAAAGGGCGATGAGCCCACAGTAATGACCCACCATTGCAGAAGCTCCATTGGTGGTAACAGACATAATGTTTGCAAGAGGAATATTTTTCTCTTTGAAATAATCTTTAATGTTACTAAAAATAGATTCACTTTTAGTATCTGCAATAAAACGTTTTACAAAAAGCATACCTTGAATAATTTTTCCTTCGTTCACTAATCAGACGTACGATAACAGAGTAGCCTCACAGGGTTCGTACACATTTCTGCACACGGAAATTAAGTACTTTTAAGGACCCTTAATGAAAAAAATTAAGGACCTATGAGCAAATGGGAACTGAATAAATTCAATTAAAATTATTACCTATGCCTGAACTTCACTTTTGTAATACCCAGAGCCGGTTTTAGACTTGTTAAGGCCCTATGCTATTCAAGGTATGGGGCCATTTATGAGTCTATTATACTATATATTAATTTTCTGGGGGCCCTAAGTTATAGCTTGTATAGGTTATACGTAAATTCTACACTGGTAAAACCATCCTAAGAATAACATAAATCCGTAAGTAGGATGCATTATTATTAAAAAATGAATTAACATAATTATTGATTAGTTTGAGAATAAAATAAATGAAATTAATAAATAAATTTATGAAATTTATCAAGTAGGAAATATTTTACACTCATAATAGCTGGAAATATTTCAAAAATGATAAGTGACATTTTATTTATGTTTCATTAAAGGTCAGCTTTATG